AAATGATGATTTGTGTGGGTTGTTTGTGCTTGATAGATGTGCATACTACACATCTTACATTAATACATTGGCATTTTTAAAATGGAATTAAATAGTCGACCATTTTTCTGTTGTTACCTAATGCAAAGTGAAAAATGTTGCATGTCTTTTCCCCTCCATATAAATATAAAACTACAATAAATACTGTCAGATGTACACAAACAAAAGCAGACCATAATGAGTTGTGAATATTGTGAATGAAAAATTTGGTATATAAAATCAATACTGCAGGTTTTTGGTTCTATTATGTAATACTTATTTTCCCATGTAACGGCTGCAGGCATTCACAAATTATGCAACATTTGCATGATGTGTTACACGCACAAACTGTTTTTGGTTGAATTAAACTATTTTAACCTTTTTCAGTGTTTTATTCTAGATAACTTTCAGAAGCCATCTGAAATGAAAGTCAGCAAACATGAGGCATTTAATCTTACTGCCTATAAAATAAGAATCTGTTCAACAGACATTTTGCAAATGTCTATAGTGACATAAATATACTTTTTTCTTTTTTTCCGTGAAGTACTTAAAATCTAAGCGATTTACAAATAAGAACCAACGATTTTTATACTACATTTATGTTGTTTATAAATTGTTACATATCTTTGATGATAGATGACAATTGCCAGCCAGTGAGCTGCTAATCTAAAAAAGAAATATAAGATGCAACGTCACACATTCTGTTTATTTTTATGTAGATTTGTGCGCATTTAATATGACGACGTGTAATTGTCATGCCTTAACCATTAAGAAAGTCGCAGTTTAATTTAAAAAAAATTTTTTTTAGTTTTGTATGAAGAGTTTTTATTTTGATACAATGAGAAGGAAAATGCTCATTTGATTCTAGCGAACCACGTGACTGAGAAGCTAAAGTCCACAACAAACAGAGAAGTCTCAAGACAGACCGACGGACGGACAGACCGACAGACAGACCGACCGACAGACAGGCAGACCGACGGACAGACGGACAGACAGACGGACCGACCGACCGACACGACGTGTAATTGTCATGCCTTAACCATTAAGAAAGTCGCAGTTTATTTAGTTTTGTATGAAGAGTTTTTATTTTGATACAATGAGAAGGCAAATGCTCATTTGATTCTAGCGAACCACGTGACTGAGAAGCTAAAGTCCACAACAAACAGAGAAGTCTCAAGACAGACCGACGGACGGACGGACAGACCGACAGACAGACAGACCGACCGACAGGCAGACCGACAGACGGACAGACAGACGGACCGACCGACAGACAGGCAGACCGACAGACAGACCGACCGACAGACAGACCGACCGACCGACAGACAGGCAGACCGACAGACAGACAGACAGACAGACCGACCAACCGACCGACAGGCAGACCGACAGACAGACAGGCAGACCGACAGACAGACAGACCAACCGACAGACAGACAGGCAGACCGACAGACAGGCAGACCGACAGACAGACCGACCGACCGACAGACGGACAGACCGACAGACCGACAGGCAGACCGACAGACAGACAGACCGACAGACAGACGGACAGACTGACTGACAGACAGACCGACCGACCGACAGTGTTTGGACCACGACTTTGATTTGGTTTACAAAAGTTTTTCAAATATTAAGCAGTGAAGCAGATTTTTATTTTGTTTATTTTTTTTTTTTAAGGTAGTAAGGTTTTCTTTTCAAGAGTTTATGATTGTCTATATTGAATAGATTTTTTTGATGTATGAATTGAGTTTTTATTAATGACTTGGATGTAAAAAAAAAATCAGTAACAGTATACTGAAACCATTAAAGTAAAAAAATAATGACATTTTCCTTAGATACTTGATTCATATTGGAGATGTGTGTGTATATATATTTATATATGTGTGTGTGTATATATATATATATATATATA